TTTTCCATCATCTTCTCTCCTGGATCCTTCCCATCTACTCTGTGTATTCATGTGTTCCCTAGTCTTTTTTTTTTTTTTTTTTTTTTTTTTGAGACAGAGTCTCACTCTGTCGCCCAGGCTGGAGTGCAGTGGCCGGATCTCAGCTCACTGCAAGCTCCGCCTCCCGGGTTCACACCATTCTCCTGCCTCAGCCTCCCGAGTAGCTGGGACTACAGGCGCCCGCCACCTCGCCTGGCTAGTTTTTTGTATTTTTTAGTAGAGATGGGGTTTCACCGTGTTAGCCAGGATGGTCTCAATCTCCTGACCTCGTGATCCGCCCGTCTCAGCCTCCCAAAGTGCTGGGATTACAGGCGTGTGCCACCGCGCCTGGCCGTGTTCCCTAGTCTTTTAAAAAAAAAAAAAAAAAAAAAAAAAAGCCTTTCCCTCTGCACCACAGTGGCATTAAGTTATGGTCTGCCTCTTTCCCACCACTGTTAACTTTCTTGTAAAAATACTTCTCACTTGCTGCCTGCAAGTCTCACACCACCTACTGCTTAATCTTCTATAATCTGTTTACTACCAGCAACCAGAATGCTTCTAGCTACACTTGATCCCTAAACTGGATGGGTCAGTTCTCTTTGATGCTGCCCTCTCTTGTTACCCTCTTCAGCACTATAATCTGCATTAAGAATTCTCAGTTGGTACTCCAGTCTCTTCTCCCAACACCACCCCCACGCCCTCCAATCCCAGAAAGACGGAATGGTTTGAACCCCATCAGCTCTTTCGCTGAGTCAGAATCACCTGGAGTGCTTGTTAAAACCCTGGGCCCTGTCTGCAGAGATGCTATGAAGTCACCTTTGAAGGCAATAACCATTATGTTGCTCAACATCACTGCCCAATGGGGGAATTTTTTATCAGGTTTTAGTCCTGTGAAAAACTTGGCATTTCTAACAAGTTCCCAGGTGATGTTGGTTCCATGTTCACACCTGAAGAAACGCTCAACTAGAGAATTTTTAATGTATTTTTGATCCTTAGCACCTGATGTGTTCAGGCTTTTTCAAACCACACCATTATCACCCCCTGAGAATCACTGGTGCCTGATGGGAGGGAGCTGATACCTCGGGTGTGTGTGGAACTCAGGTGTGTGTGGAACTCAGGTGTGTGTGGGCTCAGATGTGGGGGGGGGCTGAGGTATGGGGGTCTCAGGTGCGTGTGGAGTCTCAGGTGTGCGTGGGGCTTAGGTATGCGTGGGGTTCAGGAGTATGGGGCTCAGATGTGGGGGCCTCAGGTCAGGGCCTCAGGGCTAGGGTATTTGGAGCTCTGGTTTGTGTGTAAGGGGTAGGGGTGGGTTAACTCTTTTTTTGAAGGAAATAAGGATCTTCTTAGTCATCAAATAGAGCTCCATCTTCTCAGCTCTTCTTGGCTTGGCCACTTTGTACTGTTTGCTGTTGTTCACACTCCCTCCTGCTTTTCAACATTCTCATCGTGGCTTCTGGGATTCCACACTCTTGTGGATCTCCCATGACCAACTCTTGTGGATCTCCCATTACCGTTGCAGCTTCTGTCTCCTTTCATGTTTCTTTTTCCTCCCACCTGCATTTCCCCCACGTCCTTCTTCGTGGCAAGCTACCTTAGCTGTCCAATGCACGGCCCCAGGGGTCAGCAGCAGCAGTGTCATCTGGGAGCTTGTTAGAAAAGCAGCATCTCAGCCGAGCCCACACGGAGCCAGACTCTGCAGTGTCACAAAATCCCCCGGTGATTTTTATGTGCGTTAAATGTTAAAAAACCCTTCTCTAGAATGAAAGGGTTCTCAAATATACCTCCCTAGTCCCGCATATCCTAAGCTTCAACACACTTTTCCAGTTGCCAATTACATGTCTCCACGTGGCTGATGCCCTGGGAAGTCCAAGTGCTGATGCCAAGCTCGTGCCTTTCTCTCACCCTCCCCCTCCTCAGCCCTGCTTCCTGCAAACCAGACACTTCTTTCTTTCCTGCCTCTGCTTACACTACCAGCGGGCATCCAGAGATTACAAAGCAAATACAGACGGGCACCACGCAGGTAATATTAATGAGGGTAGTGGGCTAGGCGGGGACTGGGGTGAACTGGAGACAGCCTGCTATGTCTAATGCGTGAGCAGCTGAAGACTGCCTTTTAGAAATATGGTTTCAATGTTGCCAAACTGTGCATTTTCATGTGAGATCTCTGGATTTGATTGTGGCAACAAATTCAGGGTGGTTTTTGTTTTGTTTTGTTGTTTTTGTTGTTGTTGTTGTTATTAAACGATAGGAGCCAAAGAAAACCTGTTGCAAGCTGTACTGGCCTGTGCTCAAAACCAAGTTCTCTTTGGGTTTCTCCTTCTATCTTCACCTTCATTTCCCCAATCATTGACAAAATTTGTTCATTTCACTCCTTCTCTAAGTCCTGGTATATCTTCAGCCAACTGATTCGGCGCACCAGAGAAGGTACAATAACATCCAGTATTTCCACCTCCGTCTTTCTGCAGTAAAGCCCACCTAACAACTGACAAATTATTAAAAAACACTGCTGTAATCAAGTAAATTACCTTTCTATTCAAAACCCTTCAGAGACCCCCTGTCAAAACCCTACCTCAAATGGCTTTTCCATCCCCTTGCTTTCTTACTTAGCCATGCTTATGACTAGAGCCCACAGGCTTGGACAAGGATCATGGTAGTTGTGGAGATGGAAATAAATGAATGGATCTGAGAGATATTGAAACAGTAAAGTCAGCAGCAAAGCATAGCCGCTCATAAGACTTCTACCACTTCCTGTGAAAAGCCTGCACAAGACGTATCCTATGGTCCACCTGAGTCTGCAAACTGGCAGTCTCAGGGTCAGATTTGTTGTGCAATTATCTTTTGTGTAGCCTGCACTGCTTTAAACAACAAATAGTGGGACAGTCTAAAAAGAGTGATTGCACATACAAATCAGGATTCCTGCTTAAAAAAAAAGTGACAAATCCAGATGAAAACTTCCCTCTGTGGCAACTACTGGCCGAAGCTGACGTTTCTTCCTTTCCCTTCAGATACAGCGCGTGCTGTTCACCAGTCTTCACCTAGCGCAGGGAAGTTACTATTCACAAAAAGAAGCAAAGCCTTTAGAAATGAATTTAAAATGGGAATCAAATATTTGTAATGTTCTAAAGTGTCACAGGTTAAGAAAATGAAGTTAGGGAAATCACACCCTTCCATCCCACTGATGTTAGATATTTGGGTTTTTGTATTAGGTTTTCTTGATAATAGGCAGGACAAAATTTGAAGTCCCATTGAATTACACAGTTCAGTCTTTTGGCCCATGTCAGACGAGTGTTCACTGTTAACATTTCTAAAGGGCTAAACTTTAGTCGCCCTCCTATCCTAGATCTTCCATTGGGGGATCCCCAGATCCATCCATTCCCCACCTCTCCCATGCCCTGCAGGCGACTGACTTCTATGGACCACCTCCGGACTCTGGTTGGGTTTGGCCAATGGTAGGACAGAGGTGGATTTTGGAGGGAGAGAGAATGAGGTCAGGGTGTCTGGTCCCCTGGCTCTACCACTGCAGGGATGACAGGCTGGCTGTGTTCCTCCCCAGATGTAGAGCAACATTCCCTGGGCAGGGAGTGAAGTGGGCAGTTGCTCTTTCCCCTGGCCTCTGAGGGTACAGAAGGACCCTAGTGGTTACCCGGCACCATTGTTGTTTTGGATAGTTTCCTCAAATTATTCTATTTCCTGCTGCAACTTGACTATTTCCCCAGCCTCACTCCTATAACTGAACATTAACCAAATGGATGCAGGAAAAAAATATCCTTGGTAAGAGTCATTTTCTAGAACTGGAATATCACTATTTGGGAAGATTTTTGCAGCAATTTAAAAATTTGCCTTTGGCTGGGCGCAGTGGCTCACATCTGTAATCCCAGAACTTTGGGAGGCCGAGGCAGGCAGATCACAAGATCAAGAGATGGAGACCATCCTGGCCAACATGGTGAAACCCCATCTCTACTAAAAATAAAATTAGTTGGGTGTAGTGGCACACACCTGTAATCCCAGCTACTCGGGAAGCTGAAGTGGGAGAATCACTTGAACACAGGAAGTAGAGGATGCAGTGAGCTGAGACCGCACCACTGCACTCCAGCCTGGCGACAGAGTGAGACGCCATCTCAAAAAAAGAAAAGAAAAAATTGCCTTTATAATATTAAGAATTTTATAAATTATATAATCATCTATCTTTAAGCCTGAATTCATGTTTATAAACATTGAACCAAAAAATACATACGCAGTTTAGCCTTAAAAATTAAAAATATTTCCTCTAAAATTATGTATATTCAATCCTAACAATCTCCTCACTTTTGTGTTAAGATCCTTCCATTCACATTTTGGCACATCAGTGCCATCTACTGGAAAGTTAATACACAGGTTTCCCAAATCCCAAAATGTATGTCTTTTGTGGGGTAGTGGGAGGAAATATACCCTTTATTTAAGAAATAAGTCTTACTTTTAAGTACACAGCTGTTTAACTTCCACATCTCTATCAATATAAACCCCAATTAATTACAAAGCACCAAAAATCTAAAATTAAACAACAAAAAAAAAACACTAAACATTTCTTTCTGCACATCTCTCGGTTTCTAAGATGTTTTTCTGTGGTTCTGCCCTGTTTGTATAAAGGGCACATGTTTAAACATTACCCACTCTTTTACTCAAATCTCTGATATTAATAGGTATGTAAAAAATATGTTAAATATGTATGTTTAAATATAATATGTAACATATTTAAATAAAATATATACATATATATTTTGAAGTCCGTGACAAAGCTTTAGTTGTGAAATAAGCAAGGATGCAGGACTGTACATCTTTTTGTCGTGCTTTCCCCATCATTAGACAGCAATTAAAATCAGACAGAAACAACATGACACAACTGTTAAATTTTCTTATGTGAAAATTGCAACAACAAATATTCTAAATAATATAGAAACAGGAAAGATTGCTTAACTGATTTTAATGACATGAAGCTCCTAGACTTGATATAATCGTTATGCAAAATACATAGGTGAATACTGTCTTCTTTTAAAAATATAAAATAAATAAGCAGACATGTGAAAATAGGCAAGTTTCCATTAAATAAATGAAAATTTAAAAAAAAAAGTTTTGCTTTCCATGTCATTTGAAGAAGGAAAATTATCATTTTAAACAATATTCAAGTTTATTAAACAAATAAAAAAATATTATAAAATGTTTAACTTTCATCAGCTTCAAGGTTTATGTTGCTCCCAAATTTTGCATACAACTGAACTTTCAAATCTGCTAACACCCGCTGAATTGATTCCACTCTGGATTCTAAGGCATCAATTTCTTCTTGCAAATTTTTCTGGAAAAAAAATAATTTAAATTAATTCTATTCAATTGGATGATTTCTGAGCATCTGTGTCTGAAATAATATTTGGGAAGAATTTTAGGTCAAGAACCTTCTAAACTTGGACAGGCAGCTAAGTAACACTGATAATTAGGTCTAAGTGTCTGAATGCGGGCATTTTGAATTCACGGTCCACACTTGCTTATCACAGAATAAATCAAGCTTGTTTTCTCAGTTTCTGCTGATCCAAAAAAGAGTAAAAAATTAATTTCTAAATTATTTTCTAATAAAGAAGCAAATACAAAGACTTCTATAAACAGTTTCTCCTGGGCCTGCTGGCTTCTAACCCAGCTTTTTCCAACAACAAAAATAACTATGAGACTACAGGAAATGATAGAAAGTCACACCACCAACCACCAATAATGAAGAATAACAACTTAGGATCCAAATCTGGCAGAAATTTGCACTGACTTTGAGTCCTCTGGGGCTACACTTTGGAAAAGAGTGGTAAAAAGTGCCTCATTTGTAAGACAGAGCAGCTTTGCCCAGTGAAAAGTCAGATATTTTTCTAAGTATTTGAGGTGATAGACATGTTAACTATCTTGATTTAATTATTCACATTGTATTAATAAATTATAACATCACGTTTTACCCCACAAATTTATACAATTATAAATTGTCAATTTATAATTAAAAATACAATTCCAAAGGACAATTCTCTCTACCTACCTATCTATAGATACTTAGCCTCTTCAATTCTAAAACCAGCTTTGTAATGTTAATACTTCCCTCATTAATAGATTAAATGTTAACATATATTCTTTGTTTTAAAAAAAAAAAAAAAAGTCATAAGTTCCTTCCTGGCTAGGATCAAAACAATTTTTTCCCTAAACATGACAAAAAAATATGAAATCATACAAACCAAATACCCACTAACATTAGAAACAAAAGAACATCTAATATTGACAGTGTTGCTGTTTTAGAAATCTAGCCAATGGTTCTCAAAGGGTGGCCCCCAGACCAGTATCAGGGACAAAATCACCTGGGAACTTGTCAGAAATACACACTCTGGGGCCCTTACCTCAGCCCTCCTGAAAGAACTTCTTTGGGTTGGGCCCAGCAATCTGAATTTTTAACAAGCCCTGTGGGTGATTGTGATTTTTATGTGTGCTAAAAGTTTGAGAATCACTGTTACAAAACAAGAAATAGAAATAAGACATATGGCTGCTAGAAAGGGATAAATTCTAAATTTCTATACCGAGAAACACTGGTTAATAAGTAAAATAAGACACTAGAAAGTTATTTTAATATCACAAGTCCAATCATCTCTCTCTTTTCCAAAAATCTCTGAAGGCTCCTCTTTGCTCTGGGACGGGAGTGGGCAAACTACAGCCCACAGGCCAAATCTAGCCTGAAGCTTGTTTCTGTCAAGTTTTATTGGAACACAGCCATGCAGATTGACTCATCTTGCTTTCATACCAATTACGGCAGAGGCCGTGCAGCCCACAAAACCTAATATGTATACTTCTGGCCCTTCACAGAAAGTTTGCTGACCCCTGCTAAGACAAAGTACAATTTCTTCAACTCAACTGACTGGAGTTCTCCAAGATGTGGCCACAATTTCAGGTGCTCCCAAATCTCCAGCAAATACATCTTCTTGCAGGTCTATGTTTGCACCACCGTCATCCTATGGCCGTTTATACATGCTGCTTCTCATGACTAGAACACCCTCCGCCCCTTTCTGGCTAATAGCCACATATTCCTCAGCTGCTAGCTGAGCACTTTCCCTGGGAGCCCTTCCCTGACCCTTGATGTCCAGACTAGTATAGATTCCTCTCCCTATGTTCTTAAAGCTACGTCTATCTTCATACCACTTTCTACTCATTATCAGTTTTGTTTACTTTTCTTTCTTTCCATCTAGACTATATGCTCCATGCAGGCAAGGGCTAGGCAGGTTTTGTTGTCCCCAATTATCCCCAGTACAGGGCAGAACCTGATACAGAGTAAGCACTCAATTCATTCATTCTAGAATTCTAGAATGAACAAATGAGTAAAAAAATAAAGGTTCAGCCGGGTGAGGTGGCTCACGCCTGTAATCCCAGCACTCTGGGAGGCCGAGGCAGGTGGATCACAAGGTCAGGAGTTCGAGACCAGTCTGCCCAATATGGTGAAACCCTGTCTCTACTAAAAGTACAAAAATTAGCTGGGCGTGGTGGCGGGCGCCTGTAATCCCAGCTACTCGGGAGGCTGAGGCAGGAGAATTGTTTGAACCCAGGAGGCAGACGTTGCAGTGAGCCGAGATTGCGCCATTGCACTCCAGCCTGGGCGACAGGGCAAGACTCCATCTCAAACACTAAAAAATTAATAAATCAAGGTTCAGTATCTATCTCTGCATGGGGCAGGGGATTCACAATAGCCACAAAAACCATGAACTATCTGGGAATACTTCCAAACATTTTTTAAATGGTTAAACAAATAAAAAGAACAAAAATCACAAAATTTGACCAAGAAGAAAAGATTTAAACATAAGGGAGACATACAACATGCCTGCATGGGAAGACACAGGAGTAAATGATAGTTCTTCCCCAGATTCACTAAATGTGGGTTTCATTCATACGAAGTTTTGCTTTTTATGACATTTGAAGAAGAGCGACTATCATTTTCAGCAATCAGGTTAATTAGCAAAAGCATTAGGAAAGGTTTAATTGCCGTCAGCTTCTCATAGACAAACGATGGGACTGTCCCTGCCATATAGTTAGAAGGCATGTGAACTGAAAATTTCATACCATGTATCAGATGTCTCAGATACTATCAGAGAACTCATATGCTGACCCAGTAATTATACTTCTCTATTTCCTCACAACAATTTTCTAAATGTGAACAAAGATTTATGTAGAAGAATGCTCACAGTAACATTACTACAGCAAAATACTGGAAACAAATTAATGCTAACAATAAGACCCGTGACCCCAGTTGATAACCATCAACATGATATTAAACAGTCATCAAAAACGATGTTTTGAAAAGGCCTGTGTGCCTGGCTCAGAGCAGGCTCCCAATGAGTATCTGCTGGACAAACAAACATTCAACGAAACCGCAAAAATGCTCCTCCTGGAACATTAACTGTCCAAACTGGGAAGCAAACTACATGGAGAGAGGCAGAGAGAACATAAAATAAATACAGGAAAATGTTCACTATGAATGGTTACCTCTGGGTAGAGTTACAGGGGATTTTTCTTTTCTGCTTCAATATATGCTATACCTTCTAAATACTTTGTTTTGAGCAAGGTTCTGGAGTCAGAAGACCACTGTCTATGTGTCACTTTGAATAAATCCTGTAACCTCTCTAAGCCTCTATTCTTTGTCCCTAAATTGGGATAACAGGTCATTGTTAGGATTCAATAAGATCCTGCTGGCAAAGCATTCAGAGCATGTCTGGGACTTAACAAGGCAGGAAGTATTAGCTATCGCTAGCATCCACTATTTCCCTACATCTACAATGACATGTTCTTTATAATGATATAAATTCTAATTTCAGAATTAACTTTGAACATACCTTTGCTTCTTCTAACATTTCTTGTGTTTCTTCTTGAGAATGGCTAATGAAGACATCACCAATTTGATAAGGTATCATTAAGCAGTCATCGTCTGCAAGCATGATGTCATCACAAGCATCTTCTAGGTTTTGGAGTTGTTTCTATAAATGCAAAATGGCAAAGAAAATGTATCCAAAGTTCTCTGACGCAGGCTAAAGGCCAGTTGTAATTTGGGGACACCAACTCTCTGAGGGACCCTCTCACAAAGGTATTATTACCACATCAGAATTTCTAAGACTTTAATTTGTAACTTTTTAGAGGACATTTCACAAGCAAGCACCTAGAGCTATCTAACGCATTGTCCTCTGGATATTTTCAGATTGCTATAAGCACCCTGTGGTGGACAGCAGGCACCTATGGTCACTCAGAATTTCTTCTATTTTAACAATTTTCAACTGTGAATTCTGCCCTCCTACAAAAACAAAACCAAAAAACCAACCTACATTTCTCAGCCTTGCTTGCTGATAGGGTGCAAGTAAATCATGCTGGTAATGAATGCTCTGCCAGCATGCACAAGTGATAATAACTTCAATTCCACCAGTCAAATGCACTTGAGCCGGATTTCAACTCAAGGGAGACGACTGGACACGGGCCCCGATTTACAGGGGTAGGTGGCACTGGCAGCAGCAGCTTGGTGTTCCTAGATCTGCAAGAGTGGCTTCCTCATTGGGAAGACAGCTGACTCTGGGATCAGTGAAGGCCACAACAGCTGCTCCATCGCCAGCCAAGTTCTCCAAGACTTGTTCCTGGACCCTCGGTCTAGACTCAAGTTCCTCAATAATTCTGTAAGTTATCGCATATCCCTTTAAAAAAATGACTTTCTGCTTAACTACAGTGAATCACATTATTCATCTGCAACAAAGAGCCCAGAGAAATATATATTCACTTGTTAACTGAGTTCAGTTTTAGTAGCTATAGTACAAAAAAATTTTATTCTTCTAATAATTATTTTCAATACCTTTTTTACTTCTATTTCTTCCTTCAGCTCTGTGATTCTACTTGTATTCCGTGCAAATTTGTTTATCTTTTGTTGATCTTCGAAAGTAACATTCACATCTTCTGCAGCCTGAAAAAAGTGTTTAAGTTTTTGTAAAATTTTAATGGAGAAGTTATAAGTTAGCTTTTTATATTTCTCAACAATAACTCAATAAGCTACTTGCACTCATACAGTCAAGAATTACATGAAGTCCAGAATTTAACAAATGCTTTATTCTTTGCTACACCAGCTTAAGGTTTGTTCATAAATCTATAAACTTTTCTGATACTCTATAAATAAACTCCTGAGCTATAAAAAATTGCAGATATAAAGAACAATTAATAAGTCCTTTTAAAAGGAAAGAAAAAAGCCAACTTTTGGCCCAGAGCAGACTTTCTCAAGTTGGAGCATTCTTTCATTAAGATGACCCAGGGAACAAAAAGTCACGCGGTCAAATATATTGGTAAATGTCTCAGAGTAGTGTTTTTTTCCTTAGAGCTAAAACTTGCATGAGCTTACTGGCTAAAGGGTCACTGTACATTTCAGTGGCTATACTCCATTCATAGCAAAAATTATGTCTATAATGTAGGATCTGTTTAAATGTCTTAATAAGGTCTACTTCACTAAAAAATGAAGAAAACTGAATGTTTAGTATTTAAAAATTAATATTTAATGTGATTAAATTTACAAATTTGCAAATAAAGAGTACTTGGATAACATAAAGTACCCATTAAATAATAAAAAAAATAGGTAACACTGATTGAGTTTACTATGTGCCAAAACTTCCTATAAGTACTTTATTATCTCTGCTAATCCTCCAATCCATCTTATTAAGGAGGATCACCAGTCCTATTTTACAGATTGAGAAACTGAGGTACACTTTATATAATGTGCCCAAAGCCACACAGCCAGTAGGTGGTGCAGCTTGATTTCAACCCAGGGAGACTGGCTCCAGAGGTCGCACAGGTCCACGAGTTCTCGGAAACTGAATGCGAACAGGGGTCTGTGGGAATGTGCACGTGTGTGTGTGAGTGTGTACACAGGCTTAGGAACATTTGGAAGAGGCAGCAGGATGCCTGCTTTCATCAGATTTTCAAGGAGATACCATATATTTTTTAAAAAATAAAGCTAAAAAATAAAACCAGACTCTCCTTAGGGTTCCCCTTCCATTTATAACATGAAAACCAGAGCACCTGATTCTAGTTTAAAGGAGGAAAGACACTTGTGTGTGTATAAAAATAGTTCATACTGAAGAACTACTTTTGGTTCTTTCGCAATAACAGTAATGAGCTCACAACATCCAGGTCCATCCCTGACCTGGTCTCTCGTGACCATCGACTTAAAGTATGCGACCTTTTATTTCTCAGAGGTTGAAAGGCCGTGTCGAGCAATACAGAGCTCAGTGGTCAGAATATCACATAGCCCTCCCCTTTGTCAGGCTCTCATTCCACCTCAACAATCCAGAAGATAGCCAGAAAAAACTCTTTACATTACACTCTGTCTAGCTTTGAGTGTTCAACCGTATGCATAATTTTGATGAATATGGAAGTTGGGGAACACTGAGCTACACTCAAGAAACCAAGTCTATATCTTGGCACACAAGTCATTTTGCCTAAGTGAGAACTGTCAGTTCCCTATGCAAAAGACAGCAAAGAATTCTGAAGAGTTCCTGTTTGCCTGAAGAGTAGATGCCATTTGGTTAAATACTGAACCCCTGAAAACCTTAGCAGGTATTTAGAGATGCATTTGTCACAGTGAGGGCTCAACAGAGCCATTCACATGAACAGATCCAGTGCAGGACTGCCTGGCACATAACTGAGGCTAATACATGGTTTCTGAATCTGAACCTAAATCATGCTTGATCAAACTCATAAACACATAGTTTCCAAAATGTGGTAGAGAGAATTTGGCTATTTGCTTTCTGTCTTTCCAAAGCAGGTATTTCCTGTTGTAGCCCCACCAAACCACAGCCATCAGCACAGACCTGGCCCCTGGTATCCAGATCCTTCTGGTGGTTTTCCCACTGGGGTTGAGGGCTAAAGTTGATGTGTGAGTCAAATACACTGCATGCCGCCCACGGAGTGCTGTTTACAGCAGAAGGTAAGATGTCAGTGCCTTTGATGGCTAACAGAGGCTTCTGTTTTAGTCTCACTGTCCTAGAATATTCCTACATTTCTTGAAGCTGCATTTTGGCAAGAAGTGGGTAATTTTATTTATTTATTTATTTATTTATTTTTTGAGAGAGTCTCACTCTGTTGCCCAGGCTGAAGTGCAGTAGTATGATCTCGGCTCACTGCAACCTCCGCTTCCTGGGTTCAAGCCATTCCCCTGCCTCAGTCTCCCAAGTAGCTGAGATTACATACACGTGCCACCACACCCAGCTAATTTTTGTATTTTTAGTAGAGAAGGGGTTTCACCATGTTAGCCAGGCTGGTCTTGAACTCCTAACCTCAGGTGATCCGCCAGGCTCCGCCTCCCAAAGTGCTGGGATTACAGGCGTGAGCCACCACGCCCAGCCAGAAGTGGGTAATTCTTAACTAGGGGAGGGTCAATGGACATTGACAGGTCAATTTAACCCGAGACTGTATGCAAAATGGCATGTATAGTATGTGCATTCTTCTGGAAGCTCTTCATATCCTATAGTATCTGAGGCAGCACACAGAATGGTGGAAAGAGTCAGGCTGGAATCCAATCCAAGCAAACAGGAATCTTGGGCAAATTACCCAATTCTATGGAACCTCCTCAGGTTTCTTATCTGTAAAAAGAAGCTAGTTCCTACCTTACAGGGTTGATAAAATGAACATGTGGGAGAAAGCTTGATGATGGAGTCAGTCAAATGATAGCCAAGCATTTTATATCCTGAATATTGCTTATCAAAAATCATTACAAAGAACAGATCCAGATCTAGAAGGAAATTCTGCTAGGCCAAAGAGAAATACGCCTGCTCGAGATCCAAGGTAAAAATTAAAATTCCCCGGGCTCTTTTCTTGAGAACTAGTATCTTACGGGATTAGAGGAGGAAACAGAACCATACTCGGTCATGCCCCACACCAAATCTAGGTATTACTCGGAGTCTGCACTGACAGCTGGGTCCCTAGAAATAAATTCTGGCCAATTTCAGTCTTTTATTTTTACTTTTAAAAACATATCTACCAAGTCTGTATGATGTAAACTTTTGCTTTGTATTTGTACTCAACAACTTTCTTTTTTTTTTTTTGGTTTTTGTTTCTGAGATGAGTCTCGCTCTGTCGCCAGGCTGGAGTGCAGTGGCGTGATCTTGGCTCACTGCGACCTCCACCTCCTGGGTTCAAGCGATTCTCGTGCCTCAGCCTCCTGAGTAGCTGGGACTACAGGTGCACACCACCATACCCAGCTAATTTTTGTATTCAACTTTCATCCATGCAGTAGTTTATTTAACAATTACTGTCTCCTATATGCCATGACAAGAGAGCCACTATCCCACCTGGCAAGCATACATCCTGGTGGAGGAAGAGAAAAAAACAAGATGAACGAGATAATGTTCGATGGTGACAAACGTGATGATGAAAATACAATAGCTTAGGAGAAGAAAGTTTTGGGGGCCTGGGGAGTGAAGGAGGCTTCTTTAGATAAAGGTCAAAGGTAGCCTCTCTGAGGAAAGAACATTTGTATGTAGGATAATCAACAGAAATCAAAGTGCAGATCTCCTTATGGTCAAGAACTGGATCTTAGAAGGCAGAACTTTAGAGATGAGAGTACTGAATCATCTCATCTAAACATTCTCCCCAGCAAAATCATGACCAGTTGAGAGATAACGATGTGTTACAAATGTAAAGTACTCCAGATTGTACATGATTTGCTTTTCATTAAACTCAAAGGGCTCTCTCTCTATGTCTCACTCTCACTCACTGGCATACATGTTTGTTTTCTCCCATTGAGGGCAAAGGGGAAAAGCGTACATGTAAGATAATCTATCGGGAATTGTTCATAACACTGGAAACATCTACAGGAGGACATTACATCTATCATGTGACTCTCAAAGGCTTCAAAGTTAACGAAGATCTTTTATATTTTGGCCACCACCTACCCTTCTACAAGTTCTTTTCCCATCATGGCTCAAACTTTCTTCCCCTGATTATCTGCCATCAGGCCTTCCTTGTATTAAATGTACTCAGAGTCTCTGCAGATACTCCTCTCTAGAATGCTTCATTCTCTATCCAACTCTCCCTTCCTTTCCTTACATAATCTCACAGATCTCAACTTAAATGGCACTTTCCCAGGAAAGCCTTCTCTGATCTCAAAACAGACCTCATTTTGGCCCTCATTTCGTAAGTACTTTTCCTTCACAGTTCTCACCAGAGAAACTAGTTTTCTGTGTGACTATGTGAGTAATGCCTGCCTCTGTCCTGGAACATACGTTCTTTGGGGCTATAAGAATAAGGGGAGAAGAACTTCCTCACTGGTCACCGCAGTTGTCTCCACTTAAAACTGAGACTATGCCATATTACATGCCCCCAAAAATTTACTGAATCAATGAAAGGGGGAAAAAAAAAGTTGATAATTAGAAATTTTGCAATCAAAATCCAGGGTTCAAATCATTCTTCTGCCATTTCCTCTTTGACCATTTACTTCACCTCTCTGCACTTCAGTTTCCATACCTATAAAACGGAGTGAACCACAACTAGTATCTTTCAAGGAATTAAAGGCCATACCTAACACCAGAGGGCCCAATTTCACAAACTAGAGGTGAAGTGAATCTCACCAAGTTTCATACTGTTTTGAATCACCATGGCCCTGGACCCTACTCTGGGACTCAGTAAGAATTTTTGGATGGCAGAATAGTAGGGTGAGCAACACATCTTGAGTTAGCTGGGGCGTTCCCAGTTTTGGCAGTCCCTCAATTTCATATAAAACGGGGCAATGGGTCACCCTACACCAGGCACAGATGGCATAGACTATGTGGTACTGGATGGGGGTAAAGCAAAGGAAGTTCTAATGTGGTCTTAAAAGTGGAATGAATGCAAATCCCGCCAGCCAAGAGATTCTCATGGAAGACCCCCTATAGCAGTTTAAAACTCAGACTCCGGAGTCAGAATGCCTGTGTTTAAATGCTAGCTTTGCCTCCGTGCCTGTTTTCTCATTTGTTAAATAAGGATAAAAACAGTATCTCCCCTAAAGTACATAAGATAAACAATACACCCAAAAAAAAAAAAAAGTACAGCTATACCTAGCACACTGTAAAGCTCCCCAAATTGTCAGTCGTTATTTCCTTCCCCCTCTCCACTTTTCTTTTTCTTCTGTCTAGCTATCTTTACACATCTGGGAAGCCACGGGTTTATAAACCCGACATGGAAGTTTAGCCTGCTTAGTGGTTACATAGGTGTGCTTTGAGAAAAACCAAACCAAACCTGAGTTCGAACTCCAGCTCAGCTTCTTACTAGCTGAGTCACTTTGGGGCCCCTAACTGCTCTGTGTCTAAGTTTCTCTACCTGCGAAGTGGGGAGGAACCCATTGCACTTGCTGAGCTGCGGGGAGGATAACGGATAAAGGGCCGGCTGCTGGGCCGGCAGATCGTCCGTCTTCAATAAATACTGGTTTTAGCCTGGAGGACTCAGGGGCATAGAGCGTGGACATGGGCAGCTCCGGGTTGGACACGGGGGCTCTTGGGCCTGATAATCCGGGGATGCAGGAACCTGCTGTCCCCCTTATGAGCTGCGTAACCTGAGGCAGGTGACTTCCCATCTCTGGGCCTCAGTTTCCTCACCCGTAACCACGGTCCCAGCAGCAGCTACCCATAACCAATGAGGCTAATGCGATCATGCCGGTGCAACGCCCGAGTCAAGGCCAACCACACTCAACGAGACCTTCGACTTCCCACACCTTAGGGCCAAGGCTGGGGCTGCAGATTCCTCAGACTCCCCGGGGGCACCCTCGGCATCGCGGGAGGCGGCCCAGGGCCCTCGGAGGCTCCCGGCCCCAGCCCCGGCTCCCCGCCTTGGCTGGCCAGGTGCCTAGGAAAACGCTCAGGGCGCCAGGCGCGGGCAGGCCTTGCCGCGGGGCCGCTCTCAGGGCCTCGGCCTCGGCCTCGGGTCCCACGCCGGGCTTCGGAGCTGCGCACCCCCAGCATCCCGCGCCCCAACCCCCGCGGCCGAGATTCGGCGCCACCCGCGCATCCAGAGCCCCGAGCGCCCCACTCACCGCCTTCTTCATGGTGGCCGCCATCTTGGGACTGGACTACGGCACGCGGCGGGGAGGGCCGCAATGGCGCGCTTCGTCCTCGAGCGTTCTCTCGCTCCCGGTCGGCCCAGAACTCCCCGCAGAAATACAACACTGTCTCCACATTCCCTCCTCTTGGACTTTTGGCTAATGATTCCAAACGGCTGGGACGTAGGGAGGAAATGTGACCTGGAAAGACTTGGTACATGCCAATTAAAGGGACAGGCAACCCCCGTGGGCCGACATAAACACGGGGGTGTGGCGAACGGCTCCGGCTGCGGGCAGCAGGGTGCGCGTCCCAGGGTGCGCTTCCCTCAGCGTGGCGGGGACCAGCTGGGGCAGGATCAAAGGGGAGGCTGGGGGAATTTTTCTGCATCCGTCCCACAGACTTGCATTGAGAAAGCTGACCTCCCTGTAAAAGAGCTAGGAACGAATGGCCTTGGCAAATAGGGTGTGAGACTTACGTGCCATGATAATTCAGGTGGTGTAAAGGAGGAGGCGCTCCTATCTTTTAATGTAATTTTTTTAAAAATTTAGATTCAGGGGGTAGGTGTGCAGGTTTATTACACGGATATATTGCATAGTGCTAAGGTTTGGGTTTCTAATGATCCCGTTGCCCAAGTAGTGAACATAGTACTCCCTAGGTAATTTTTCAACACCTTTCCCCTGCCTCCTTCCCCGTGTTTGGAATCCCTAGCATTTGTTGTTCCCATCTTTATGTCCATGATTACCCAGTGTTTAGCTCTCACTCGTAAGTGGGAACATGAGTGGTTGATTTTCTGTTCTTTGTTAATTCACTTGGGATAATGATGTCCAGCTGCATCCATGTTGCTGCAAAGAACATGATTTTGTTCTTTCTTATGGCTGCATAGTATTCCATGGTGTATATGGACCACGTTTTCTTTATCCTATCCACTACTGATGGGCACCTGGGTTGATTCCATGCCTTTGCTGTTGTGAATAGGCAATCCTATTGATTAATTTACAGCAATATTACTGAACAGTTACTGTATATTCTGACACTTGTATCTCCCAATTAGTAATTTTTTTTTTTTTTTGGCCTTAGGATCTCTTTGTACTCCTAGAAATTATTGAGGACTCCAAAGAATTTTTATGTGGGTTATTTATCGATATTTGCTGTATTAGAAATTAAAGCAGAATTTTAAAAATGTAGTTATTAATTCATTTAAAATAATATAAAACTCCATTCCATGGTAATAAAAATCACACTTTAAAAATACCTATATTTTCTAAGACAAAAACAAATTGAGAAGACTGTCATCGTTTTACATTTTCACTGATGTCTTTAATATCAGGCTTAATGGAAGGTTAGATTCTCATGTGTACTTCTGCATTCAGTCTCTCCAAATATACTGTTTAGTTGTCTAGTTGTAGGTATGAAAAACCCCAGCCTCACACAAATCATGCAGTTGGGAAAGGGAGGCCCTCATGGATGCCTGAAAAGGTCTCAGGGAGCCCCGACGTTCATGGACCACAGCTTGAGAACTGCCCCTGACAAGCCACCTCCTTTCTCAAAGTCCCAATTTCCTCTTTGGTTCAATGAGGGGAATGAGACCTTACAGCACCTTGTGCTCTCCCCACCGAACCACCTAGCCCGCCACGGGCATTGCCTGTTCTCCTGACTGTTCTGGGCTCTCCAGGCCCTTAGTATTGGGACTTTCCAGTGTGTAGCTTATATGTGCTCAAAAAAGTATTTGTTGAATAAAAATGTTTTTCCAGGGTTAAATTTTAGCACAGGGTCTGGCGCATAGGATATGCTCCATCAGTGACACCTGTTTATTCCAGAGCTCAATGTAAAAGCACTGCAAGAAACAAATGGTGGAGAGGGAGACAGAAATAAAGGGCAAAATTGTCACAAATGGTACCAAGTGCATGAAGGAGATAAATGAGGTGCTGAGGCAGAGCACAGAGGGGAGGGGTGGGGGCCGGCTCTGGAACTGGCCTCCAAGCTAAGAGAAAATGGGAGGCCTCAGCATGGGGAGAGGAGATGAAAGTGGGCCCCAGGGCTGAAGGGCTGAGAGGGAAAGAGCCTGGTGAGACATGGTAGAAAGGACTGAGCAGCATGGAGCGAGGCTGGGGTGCAAGGCAGGGGCCAGATCTGAGTGTGTTTTAGACCTTGGTAAGGCCAAACCGGGGCAGGGAGAGAGAAAGAGAGAAAGAACTCTGACTTTTTCAAACCTTTATTGAGAAATGGCTGAGTTGAAAGGTGAGGAACAATGGAGCATGAATTTTGAGGAAGTGTAATTGTATGGTGGGGACCGAAAGTAGCATAGGGGGTTTCAAAGAGAGAAGCACTTCAATCCTCAAATTCATAGATCTTAGGACCAGAAGGGACCTCAATCTTCATCTATGCTAACCTTTGCCTTTCGCTGAAATATATAATAATGATAGTTGTTATGGTTTGACTGTGTTCCCACCCAAATCTCTTCTTGGATGGTAGCTCCCATAATTTCCATGTGTTGTGGGAGGGACTTGGTGGGAGATAACTGAATCATGGGGGTGGTTTCCTCTATACTGTTCTCGTGGTAGTGAATAAGTCTTATGAGAGCTGATGGTTTTATGAGGGGTTTCCCCTTTCTCTTGTTTCATTCTCCCTGTCTGCCACCACATAAGATGTGCCTTTTGCCTTCCGCCATGATTGTGAGGCCTCCCCAGCCACGTGGAACTGTGAGTCCATTAAACCTCTTTTTCTTTATCAATTACCCAGTCTTGCGTATGTCTTTATCAGCAGTGTGAAAACGGACTAATGCAACAGTAATAGTAACATATAAAACTGACACGGTACATATTCTGTGACTTGCATGTTGTTAAATGTTTTAATCCTCCCCATACCACACAATATTGTTATCGACCATTTTACAGGAGAGGAAATAGCGTTTCAGAAGGACAAAGCTACCTGGCCAAGGCTACAGCAGCCAGGAAGTACCAGAGCCTGGGTTTGAACTCTTGGCGAACCTGGCTCCAGAGACCACTCTCCAAGCACCAGGATTTGCACATCACTACAAGTCACGTATAAAGTCAGCTGTGTCCCGGAGTGGGTAGCTCATAGTGGACATTGCAGCTCCTGTCACCTAACTTGCATGAGTAAAGTGTTTAAGACTCATTAAAGGGCGTACTGGAGCCAGACTGCCTTGGTTCAAATCATACCTCCACCACTTTCTAGTTTTGGTGTTAGACAAGTTACTTTCATGGCAAAAATAATGTCTCTCCAATAGCGTTGTTGTGAAGAGTAGAAGAGATAATACATGCAAATAAAGTGCATTGTAAGCTCTCAGGAAATGTTAGCTATGATTACTTTCTCAGTTCAGCCCTGTTGCCTCTGAAATTCCTCTGCCCAAGTTATGATCTTTCAAATCTCCTCTTAAAGAACTCCCCTGGCTCATTATTACTGCTAACTACCCCCATGGCCATTATTAGTGCTGCCTTTTGAGATGGTAGCATCCATTTCAGATGTGTAGAAGTTGGAAAGCATCCTGGGAGAGAAGAATGACAATGGTTAGAAGCCATCCTAGTTGGAATTTTTAAAGCAGAGCCCGAGGCAAAGGCTTAGATACTGCTTCTTCATTAAGGAGTATAATCCCAGGGCAGCAAGAGCAAGGAAAAAGTAGGATGAAGCAGGTCAGGGACGGCCGCAGAGCCCATACCAGGAGACCTCACCAAGCTGACCTTTGCTTGGTATCAAGCACGACTGGTTGCTCCCTCTCTGGGGACTGTCCTGTAAGAGGCTGTGATAACCAGGGCACAAGAGAGTTCAGCTGGGGAGAACTCTTACCTGCCAGTCCCTGCCTCCCATTCAAAGGCTGGCCCCAGGGGGACCTCACTCCCAGACACTTCCAGGTTGCTCACTGAGGCTCCCATACTTTTTCTTACCTCAGCCTTCCACAGGGAAGCCCCCAGGTAGAGGAACAAGTGTGAGGCTGTGAGCACCAGGCAACCGGAGCGAGAGGCAGCCCTGCTGGGTTCTGCACACCTCAAGTCTGCACACCATGGCCAGTGTGGAGCTGGTCACTGTGGGGGCTCCTGGGGTGGAGCAGGTGGCCAATGGCAGGTGAGGACAAAGACAGGTTAAACCAAGAGGCTTTAACATGACACATCCTTAGGTGCCGTCTGACACAGAGGCCCATGAAATCAGCTAAGAAGTTCAGATTATGACATACTGAAGAGTCATTGAATTAAATTCTTTTAGGACTTCAAAATTACATTGGACAAACCACAGAATGAGAGAAAATATTTGCAAACTATTTAATTTAATATTTAATTAAGAAATAAGGCAAGAAAAAAGGGATTAACAGCCAGAGTATATGAGGAGCTCAAACAACTCAATAGGAAAAAAAAATCTAATAATCCAGCTTAAAAATGGGCAAAAATTCTGAATAGACAGTCTTCTAAAGCAGACATACAAACGGCAAGTGGATATATGAAAAGGTGCTCAACATCGCTGGACATCAGAGAAATGCAAATCCAAACTACAATGAGATATCAGCTTATCCCAGCTAAAAATTGCTTTTATCCAAAAGACAGACATTAACAAATGCCAGAGAGAACGTGGAGAAAAAGAAACCCTCATACGCTGTTGGTGGGAATGTAAATTAGTACAACCACTGTGAAGAACAGTAGGAAGATTCCTCAAAAAACTGAAAATAGAGCTATCACATAATCCAGCAATGGCACTGCTAGGTGTATAACCCCCAATAAGGAAATCAGTATATCAAAGAGATGTCCGCATTCCCATGTTTATTGCAGCGCTATTCACAATAGCCAAGATTCAGCAGCAACCTAAGTGTCCATCAACAGACGAATGGATAAAGAGTTGGTGGTAGTGTAAATTAGTGCAACCATTACGGAAGACAGTGTGGTGATTCCTCAAGGATCTAGAACCAGAAATACCATTTGACCCAGCAATCCCATTACTGGGTATATACCCAAAGGATTATAAATCACTCTACTATAAGGACACATGCACAGATATGTTTATTGCAGCACTATTTACAATAGCAAAGACTTGGAACCAACCCAAATGTCCATCAATGATAGACTGGATAAAGAAAATGTGGCACATATACACCATGGAATACTATGCAGCCATAAAAAAGAA